TTCAGGCATAATATTTGATTCACTGGCTTTGATCAAAGCCAATTTGATCATTGGCTTTCTTTTACATTTAGATGATTGGAGAGTTTTTCCCTTGGGGTTTGGATTCTCCTGCATCCTTAGGAATGAGTATCAACCTTGAACATAATGATTCTTGAAGCCAGACATTGCTCTGTGCCAGCCGTGCCACCTGGTGGTGTAAAGTACAATGCTGTGCTTACATCTGAATATAAAGGAATGGATGTGATTTCTAAATTTACATTTTGGATGAAATGAAATGTGTATTCTCTGCATGAGTGCATAAATACCCACAATGTACACAATTGTTAGTGGAAATTTTGAGTTTATAAGTAATTAAAATATATCAACAAATATAAAAAACAACCTAATTAGAAAATAAAATGTAAGGAGAGAAATTAAACCATGTAGCTACTAATAATAATTACATTATTAAGTAACAATAAATAAATTTCAGAATTATTGGGGATGACAGATAAGTGGAACATAGTAGAATTGAGAAAGCAACTGAGATAGCACCAGTTTGAATCCCTGGGGAGATGAAATGTTCAATACATAGTACTGAGAAAGCTGACTCATGGGCTGCTTAAAAGTAGTGATGGCAGCAGGCATGGTGGGACACATCAGAGACTAAAGGATGATGATTGCTTAAGGATAGTCAGGACTACATGGCTAGTATGAGAGTATTAGGAACTACAGAGTAAGATCAGGTCTCAAAGGAAATGAAATGCTGGTGATAGAACTCAGCCTCATTTTTCTAGATGTGTTGAAATTAAATTATATTGTTAAGTTCTGGATGCATGGAAAGTTAATACACTAATGAGCTAGTAATGATGAATCACTGAAAGAAAATACCACTTGAGTAATAACTCTTAGAGGGGGGAATGATTGCTGAAAAACCCTGAGGCTTCTTAAGAGATTATACCCATTCTGAAAAAGAAGTTGAAGAAAATTGTAGAACTTTAATACTTAGTAAGGGAACATTAAAATCAGTTCTGTGAAAGTTTCAAGTGAAATGGATGAAATTGTGGTATCTAAGCATTTAGTAGAGTTCTTATAGATGATATGGAAACATTTTGAGTTTGTGTTCCTCTTAAGTAAGGTGAAGAATTTTCCAGAAACATTGGTGCAATTTAGCATTCTTGGGGGCAGTTTCCTCAAGTCATTTATGTATACTTCTATTTGTTTTTTGGGTTTTTTTTGTGTGTGTCTGTGCTCATCATTTATTATGTATTGTAAATTACTTCTAGCTTAATTATTATTTTGTTGCTCTCATTCTATGTAATCTGTTTTTGGGTTTTTTTTTGTGTGTGTGTGTGTGCTCATCATTTATTATGTATTGTAAATTCCTTCTAGCTTAATTATTATTTTGTTGCTCTCATTCTATGTAATCTGTTTTGGTCTTTGTGAGATGTACCTGTTTCTGTTGTGACTTCTGATGTCTCTGACCCAGGAAGACACTTCTGGAATATGTGTTTCCAGATAAACCACTTGTTTAATTCAATTTAACGTGTTTTATCCCTCTATGATTCGTGCTCTGTGGAAATGTGGAGCCTCATATTTTCCCTAGACCTATACTTGTATGACTCCTTCACTCTCTGATGAGAAGCCCCAACTCAAATCTGACAGCAGTCTGTCTCCATCAGCTGTCTTTATTGCTTTGTCCCAGCTGCTAACACTAAAAGACATAATTGCTCTAGGCTCTGGGGACAGATTACTACCTAGAAAAGTACACTGCCTGTGCTTTTCAAAGATTTCTTCATCTTTTTATGGCTTTTCATCTTTTAAATGATTGTTTGTGTGATGCATGTGTGTCTGTGTGTCACTGCGTGTGCATGTATGTGTGCAGTACACATGCATGTGTGTGTACACATGTGAGGATCGGTGTCAGACATCAGATGTTTTATTCACTCATGCCACATCTTGTTATTTGAGGCAGGGTCTCTTCCTGACTTGACTAGAAAGGCAGTCAGCACATCCCGGGTCCCTCTATGTTCACTTACCCACCACTGGGATTGTAGACATGCACTACTATGCCCAGTTCTAGATCTGAACTGAGGTCTTTGTGTTTGAAGTTTACCAGTTGACATCCCCAGCCTCTTATTTTGTTTTCTTAAATTTTAACTTTCTTTTCATGTCTCATAAATTCTCTTGGCATATGTACTGATAATACATTAAATTTAACTTTTTATGAAAATTGTCATCATCTGAACATTAATTTTTGCAATTCAGGCATATTATTACTATATCTTTATTAATATTTTCATTTTATCTCTTACTAAAGTTATCATGTGTGTTTATTAATTTTTATGTTTATTAAAGTTTTCTCCGAGTGTTACCCATTTCAGTTTAGTTTCTTTTGTATCTATTGATGCTATTGGTGTTGTAAATGAATGAACTTTTAGTCTGTTTTATTTTAATTTGGTATTTTCTTGGAGGGAGGCAGGAAGTTTTTAAGTACTTTTATATTTTATAATATTAAATTTTTGCAGTAAGGGTTTTTAATATTACACGTTTATTTTGAAATTAATTTTATTGAACTTCTGAAATAATGATTTGAACTATACCATTGATGAGTCCTTAAATTCTGGAAGATAGTCAGTGTATACATAAAAGAGATGGCATCTGGGGCTTCCCAGCACATTGGAGATAGAGGCATAATTTTCATGAAATTCAGTCTTTACTCTGGACTTGCAGCCTTAACATCCCTGTATCCTCTAGCTAAGATGAGTTTGTGTTTTCTGTGTGTATTTGATTCTAGCCAAGTCCAAAACTCAGTTCCTTCAGTGTTCACATTGTACATCTGCCAGATAAATACTCTGTGCACTTGTGAAGAGTAGAAGCCATCGGAGAAAGGAGGATTTCATTAAGTAGAAGCCAGGTGTCCACTTACTCCCCATCTGCACTCTGGACATCCCCTTCATCTAGTTTACCTCTAATCCAGTGTGAATATCAACTTGAAGCCACACAGCCACTATTAAACCAAGAAGTGTTACTTACTGAAAATACTGAGTTCCTTAATTGTAGGTAACCATGATGATTACAACTTTTTCTTCTTCCTTGTCTGTTAGTCTACCTTTCCTGTAGGTAACCATGATGATTACAACTTTTTCTTCTTCCTTGTCTGTTAGTGAAAAATAAACAAATATATTTTTACCATAGTTAATAATTGTCGTAATAAAAGGTAGGGAGAAAAAAACTAGATGTGTGGGTTTCATTTTATATCATGTAGAATAAAATCTGGAGAAATCTTTATCACATGAAATTCACTAAAACTCTAGGACCTTTCAAATCTATGTGAAAGAAAATTTCAAAGGCCTCATTACTGTAAGGCCTTCTGCATCTGAATGAACCTTTTGCAAATAGCATTGATCCTTAAATTGAATGGTAAGTGGTAAATTACCTGAAGGCAAGGCATAGGAAAAAGGTGCCACATTTCATGCCTTCTCCATGTAGCATTTTTACTTGTCTTAGGTGTATCTGTCTGAGAGCTGTACATAAAACTTAAATTGTGAATAGATGTTTTTCTCCTTCTTACTTAGAATATACAGATATTAAACTTATGTTTTCAGCATGTGAAATAGGGCTTGGTAAATGTAGCAAAGGATAAACTAGTAGTTTTGATCCTAAGTTGAGGTAGCCTCTGTTTCTCTTATACACTTATAAATCAAGTTGCTTAGGAAATAATGTTTAAGGCATGTGTCTACCCAATATTCATAGTGTGTCTTCTTCACTGGATACAGGATTTACTGTCTTACCACCTTCACTCTCAGTCTTGCAGGGTTTGATTCTCTAAATCATTTGGGATATAAACTGTGGTCCTTCTCTTCCATCTCTAGGGATAAAATGTCATAAAGCCCCTTTATACAGTATCATTAAATAAAGAAAAAATGAGTAGGTCACATGTTGTCTTTCTGTAGGCAGGTTGAGCCATGGCACCTGTGTGACATGATTCTCACCATGTAGAGCTCTTTGGCTGTGCTCTATAAAGTGATGTGAAACTGAAAAACCACATTGACACATGTAACTTCTTGTCTCCTGATGGCAGCGACACACTGATAACTGAGCAGCAAAGCAGGGTATGCAGTGGAATTGGCAGCCGGCTCCTCACCACAAACACTACTACAAAACTAAGTCACATCCTTGTTTTTATGAGTGCCTATATAGCATGTCAGTCAGTAGACAGCAGGGCTGTCCTTCAAGGAGTCTTATGTATCTTCAGGTGCACTGACCTGCTAGTGGTCACACAGTAAACATCTTCCACATCTTTGAGAGAGATTTAATCACATTTAATCTCATCAATTAATATGAGACTTGTTCTTGCAGAACCCAGCTGACAGGAGTGGTACCTATGTCTGGGACTGCTTTCATTTTTTAGTTCAAATCTCCATCCCAGGGAAATTGGAAAGGTTTCACTGAGGAATTTAGCTGTAGGGTTTATCACATGGTCAGTCTGAGTCTTTACTTATGTGTCTCTGAAACCATGGTTCAAGTATTAGTATGTTCTGACTTTTGAGATCGCACACTATTACTACTGGTTTATTTGGGTTGTTACTCACTGACCTTAAAGAAAACAAGCAAACAAAAAACATATGCCATCCTAGTTCAATGAGCATTGCCAGAAGAAATACTTTTTTAATTATTTTATTTTATGCATCTGTGTGTTTTTCTTTTCTTATATGAACATGCCTGTAATGAACCGAGGTCAGAGGGAGTGCTGTAGCCCCAGAAACTAGAGTATGGACAGTTGTAATCTGTGTGGTAGTATTGGGAACTGAACCCAGGTCCTCTACAAGAGGGGGAAGTGGAGAAAGTACTCTTAATGGCTAAACAATCTCTCTGCTGCCTGAAATACATCTTTTAAAGTAGTTTGAAGTTTTTAGTGGAAATTGCCACTAAGAATGATATTTCAAAGAGTATTTTTGATAACCACTGACTGAACTGTATTGGTCTTCATAAAATTGCCTTCCATGTTTCTATTATAGGATCTGCTGAGTTGGGTGAATGGTGCTCAGGAACATGGCTTTGTCCTGGTGTCTTTTGGAGCTGGTGTCAAGTACCTTTCAGAAGACATTGCTACAAAACTGGCTGGAGCTCTGGGGAGATTGCCTCAAAAAGTGATTTGGAGGTAAGGTCGTGGTAACTTAGGTTATTTTTTTTTTCTGTTGAGTCCTAGTTTTTTTCTTATTTAATCTTCATGCCATGGAACACTAGAGCATGAAACATTGGCTGGGTAGATTAGATGATCTTGAGGTTTCATTTTGTTTCTAATGTATTGAAATCAATAATTAATTCATAAGGTTTCATGATTGATCAAAACTAACTGAAAGAAAGAATATATGATGTGGAATGAGATAGTGTATGTTGGATACAGTTTTATATTTCCTTCATATTAAACCCTCACTTTTTCTTACTTTAAAAATTTAGTTGTAATTTCATGCCTGTCTATAAATTTCTTCAAATCAGTGTGGGATAAGGTAGATAATGATGAATGAGTACATTAATTCAGGTACTTTGCACTCTTCCCTGTGTTTTCTCAACTTTATTAATATTTCCAGACTCTCAATCTAAGAGACTGAGCTTCTGAAACTCTCAGTAACTTACCAGATAATTAATGCTGGTTAAGATAGACTCTGAGCTATATCCCAGCTCCCTGAGGCACTGCAGCAGGGCATCAGACCTGCATAATTAATAAAGCATGCATTTATTTGCATGTGCTACTATTTCAGGAGTCTGTGGACATAGTAGTGAACACAACTCCACAATAAAAAAAAAAAGGATCTCCCAAGCCATTTTATATATAATCTGAGTTGTCTAGGTTTTTACATTCATAACATTGTGTAAGGCTATGCTAGCAAATGCTCACAAACTGTGTTCTGAGGAGGACATTCCCCCTCTGGCTAGAGTTCCATTGAGATTTTTCCAGAGCATCCCTATGCTTTACTGAGGACAGTTCTGTTTGTTTACATTGGATTCTCTTTTTTTTCTATTTTTTATTTAAATTAGAAACAAGATTGTTTTACGTGTCAATCCCAGTTCCCTCTCCCTCTCCTCCTCCCCTGCCCTGCACTGACCCCCCTATCCCATCCCCTTTCTGCTCCCCAGGGAGGGTGAGGCCTTCCATGGGGGATCTTCAGAGTCTGTCATATCTTTAGAGCAGGGCCTAGGCCCTCCCCCATGTGTCTAGGCTGAGACAGTATCCTTCTATTTGGAGTTGGCTCCCAAAGTCCATTCCTATGCTAGGGAAAAATACTGGTCCCCTACCAGAGGCCCCATAAATTGCTGAGGTCTCCTCACTGACACCCACATTCAGGGGATCAGGAACAGTCCTATGCTGGCTTCCCAGCTATCTGTCTGGGGTCCATGGGCTTCCCCTTGTTCAGGTCATCTGTTTCTGTGGGTAATACCAGCCTGGTCTTGACTCCTTGCTCATTACTCCTCCCTCTCTGCAACTGAATTCCAGGAATTCAGTTCAGTGTTCAGCTGTGGGTGTTTCTGCTTCCATCAGCTACTGGATGAAGGCTCTAGGATGGCATATAAGGTAGTCATCAATCTCATTTATCAGGGGAGGGCATTTAAGGTAACCTCTCCACTATTGCTTAGATTGCTAGTTGGGGTCATCCTTGTAGATCTCTGTACATTTCCCTAGTGCCGGATTTCTCTTTAAACCTATAATGGTTCCCTCTATTATGGTATCTCTTATCTTGCTCTCCTCTATTCTTCCCTCGACTCAGCCTTCTTGCTCCCTCATGTCCTCCTCTTCTTTTCTCCCCTTCTCTTTCTCCTAGCTCCCTCTCCCCTCCCCCCATGCTCCCAATTTACTCAGGAGATCATGACCTTGTCCCCTTCTCTCTTAGAGTCCTCCTTGTTTCCTATCTTCTCTGGCAGTGTGGATTATAGGCTGCTAATTTCTTAATTGTGAGACAGATTTGCGGCTCACCACATAAAAAAGAGCCTAACTATGTGTTTTGCTCTGACAGTCTCTCTACTGCCAAAGCATAGAAGCATACTTTCTGCTGCCTTTCAGTGTTGACCTTGTGTGACAAGGATGATGGCTAGTGACAGCCCCGTGGTGGTTGTTTCTATTCTCTCTGGGTACTTGAATAAAGTTCTGCAAAGATTTGTTTGGATCCGCCATCTCTTATGTTTCTTTCTTATAAGAGCAAATGGAACATAGACTTTTATGAGAAAATTATATCTTACATATCTATGGAATATTTTATTATAAAGAAAGTGAAGCACATTTTTATTTATACTAAACCAAAATTTCTCCCATAAGAAAATCAGTAACATAAAATCATGACACTTGTAAGTCTACAAAATCAGCCCATGTCCTAAAGTCTTCATTTATGAAAGACCCATTGTGTGGTATTCATTTTAGGTTTTCTGGAACCAAACCAAAGAATCTAGGAAACAACACTAAGCTCATAGAATGGCTGCCGCAAAATGACCTGCTTGGTAAGTCAGTGGCTGCACTTACTTAACTGATATGCAAACATGGTGTTAGTTCTTGAATGGTTTGGAAAATCTGCACATGGTTTCTGTTGGACTCATTTTTATCTAGTACTTCCATTCTTAAAATTCAAACCAATGATTCAGAATTTTATTTGTTGACAAAATCATTTGTAAAATGCAACCACTTGAATCTATAATTACAAATTTTAAACAGTGTCACACTTTTAATTTTCCATAAAGTATGCATTTAATTGTATAAGTTAGTAGTGGTAGTAAATAAAGCTATCTCTGATTAGGTTCATTGGTAAAAGTAGTAAAATTTAAACAACAAAAACCACAAACTGATTTTATATTCATTTACAGATTTATCTAAATCCTAGATAATTGGGAGTTATTTGATTGTCTGAAACAAACAAACAAAAAAAAAGCCAAAAAGTAGGGAAATAACTGATTTAAGTTTAATTTGGTCAGTTGCTAATTCTTTCTAAATTACTAAGTACTTTTAATAAACATTTGTTTTAGATTTTTATTTTTGTGATTTTTGTCAACACAAAATTAAAATAGTATTGAATATTTGCTTATTTTTGAAGTATGCCTAAGTATAGTGTATTTTTACTTAGTTTAGTGAGTACAGTCAGTAAAATGAATGTTTTTATTCATTATATTTCTAGGGATAGACAATACAATGCCATCCCTTAATGTGTATTAAAGAAATGATAGGCAGCTGTTGATGTGAGCTGTATTGGACACCACTTATGCAATAATATTAACAACAGATATCAAATAAATTGACATTTTAAAATTATTACTCTTAAAATACTAATGTCAATTTTAAAATGCTTTAAAATTATGCTTATTTTAAGATATACTTTCTAGATGCTACACTGGCCCTACAAGTCAGACGTTTTATTCATCATTATTATTGCTTTTAAAGCTAGGCTGTCATGTAACTCAAGTTGTTCTTGTAATCAACTATTTAGCTTTGAAATCTTACTTCTACCTCCTAAGTGATAGAATTTTAGACGTCTTCCACCAAGTAGTTAAATAATGTTTGTATGCATGTGCATGTGTATGCATTGAACTCATACATGATCAGTAAGTACTATTGGTATGCACCACACCATTTCACTATATCTGCAGGCCACAGACCCAGCAATTTTAATTTTCCCACTTTAAAATGCTGAATAAGTTTGGATATAAGTCCTCTCTACCTAGCTCATTCTAAATGTAGTAAATGAGCAAAAATAAACACAGCAATTTTCTTTTCCAAATACTTTTGGTTTTTTCCTTCTCTTTCTTGTCTTTGTTATCTTGACCACTGAATCCACACAAGGTGGGAAAAAGAAGAAAATCCCATAGAAAAGTTGGCCATCGGCTAGCTCAGTGCAGCCATGTAATGTTTTCACCTAGGAACACCTGAGCTTTAATGTGGGATCCATAGCAAAGTGTAGCTCTTTAGAGGTCTGTGAGGAGGACCACTTGAAGGCTCCCCCAGGTTCTCCTTGTTCCAGTATTCTGACTTTTCAAGGTTAGTGCTTTGATACTACTCTAAGCATCCCCTCTGCAGGGGTTGTGACGACTTCCCTAATCAAAGATTCTTCCAGGACAAAAAGTGGGCACCAAATCACTGTCTTCTCCCTTCATCCCATAGTTTCCCCTTTTCTTCAGACGCCAGCACTGCTTCATTTTTCAATGCTGGACTTGAAAATACAGGTTTTATTAAAATAAAGAGTTCTGCTGTGGAGAAATACTTTTAAATATGATCTTCTATTTAATCTGAGATGGGGAGGCTCTCTTTATATACAACACTTGGAGACACAAATGTACTGAGCGCACACTGATACTGCAGTTCATACACAGTTGTGTGCCTAGTGAGGATATTTAGTAGATTTGTATTTCTGCAACCAATAATTATTTACTGGTCAACAACACACTTCCTAAGCACACAGTTTATTTTTTTGTACCTCTTATGCAAGTTTTTCATCCCCCTGATCAAATACAGGCCATTTAACATGGAGCTATGCCTCATTAAAATTTTGACAGTCTAGGTTTTCTATTCCCATGATAGCTAAATGTTATATGGTACTTCATCTCTTAAAGATGATGCCTTCATTGTCACTCTCTTTATTATCAGCAATTAAAGCATGTGTTGTAGTTATATGACAATTGTGTTTGGGTGAATGTTGTCATAATTTTGTGATTAATGGTAAATGTTTAAATTTCCTAAAAATGGTTTTCAATTGATATATGTAACAAACATTTTAAAGAATGGATCAGTGAAATTACCACTTTAAAAATTCACTTTCTAAAATGTGTATTTACTATAGTATTGGTCTTATAAGAAATTCTGTATAATTCTAGAGTAATGTAAGTTGTTTCCTTTTTTATCTTTTAGGTCATTCAAACATCAAAGCCTTCCTAAGCCATGGTGGTTTGAATAGTATTTTTGAAACTATGTATCATGGTGTCCCTGTAGTGGGAATTCCACTTTTTGGAGACCATTATGATACTATGACTCGAGTACAGGCAAAAGGCATGGGGATCTTGTTAGAATGGAAAACTGTTACTGAAGGAGAGTTGTATGATGCGCTTGTGAAAGTCATCAATAATCCAAGGTAAGACTTAAGCTAATATAAGACAGATGACAGTATGTATGTATAAATTATCACATATGCACACAAATCTACTTAGACACATGTATTTATTTACACAGCATATTGACAGTAAGTTGTCTCTGGGACCATCATGGAGATAACCCTTGTATTACTGTTATATCTTATATGTGTTTTCTAAAATTTCGAAGTTAAACATATAAGTCATTTAGCCATTTAAGTTGTGATCCTGAGATTTTTGCCACTATGATTTGTTTGGAAAACTAAGGTATGAACTATCATTGTGTCTCTAGTGTGTCAGATTTTGTATCTTTGATAGTCCTCGAACTAGTTATATTTGTCATTGCTGTGACCAAATACTTAACAAGATGTGACTTGGAAGGAAGGATTTATTTTGGTCTGTGGTTTGAAAGTGTATCCTGCTGATCCAGGGGAAGGCCTGGTGGCAGGATGGCTCCCAGCTGTGGTTACATGAGCTTCCTCACATCTTGATTGGAAAGCAGAGAGTGGAGAGCACTGGCACTGTTCTGGCTTTCTGTTTCCTCATCCTGTGTTCCCAGCCATAGGACAATGCTAACATACTCAATTTTCCCTTCTCAGTTCCCTACTGGAACTGTTCTCACACACATGCCCAAAAGTACATTTCTCAGGGAGTTTTAAACCCACTCATGTTGACAAGTGCCAATGAGCCATCACACTTGCCGCTACCTCGTAGCAGGATTTTTGCTGTTCTCACTATGGAAATGAGGCACTTTAATCTCAGAGCTTCAGTGGTTTCTCTGTGGTCACATAGCTATTCAGATGCGAACTGAAGACAGACCTATGTGACTTCTAAGCAGAGCTCTTCATCCTGCCTGGCTGACTTTCCCAGCACTCGCTGTTGCTGAGATGTGTGTGCCCATGTGAATGATGAATTAGAATCTCTCTTTTGCCTTTTAAATTCTTGATGTGTCCTGAGTTAACCCACTTCACAAATAAGTCTCAGTGGGCAGCTGCCCTGGGTTGTTTTAAACAAAGCAGCGATTTTCTTCATTTAAAGACATGATGTTTAGTTTCTCATGTGCTTCAAATGATTTTAAACAGCTGAAGAGAGTAATTAATTTCTGTTTTTACGTGGGGGATATGCCTGAACCCTGAGTTGAGATTTGTTACTGTATTTTAAGAAATGCCACATGAGAAAATGGTTTCTTAAAAATATGTGAATCTTACGTACAAAATTGTTGAATCATCCAAGGTTCATTATGCTATTTTTTATAAGCTCAGGGATGACACCAATCTTGGCCTCTTACAACAACCAAAGTCTTGGTCACAAATGTGGCTCTTGGAACAGTATGCTCTATTCCTTAGCAACCTGCATACTACCCCTTCTATAATCTGTAGTTTCCCTAGTTAGACATCATGCATTTCAAGACATGCTGTTAGGAAAATATTTTCATAATGGCCTGGAAAATCTGAAGGAAGTGTTTGGTGAGGGAAAATTGGAGAACTACTAACATTGGGCCATTATATAGAAACATTTGCAGAAAGTGGTTCAGCAAGGCAGTTTGTGTGTTTGTTTTGACTGTGGCAGTGAAGGTTGAACCCAGGGGCTTGCACATGCCAGGCAAGCACTCTTCCATGAGCTATATTTCCAGTTCAGCTTAGCAGTGTTCTCTGAGGTGTGAGCCAGCATGAATTAGAAAAAGATCAGGCTGTACTCATTACATTGCAATGAAATCCTAACTGAAGTATCTTGAAGGACATAATAGTGGAAAGATGTCTTGCTTAATACAGAAATAGCGATGATATATGCCATAAATGTTCCATTCCCTAAAAGTCACTATACAAACTGGAACAATTTACTTCAAATATATAGCAAATAGTGCACATGTAAGGTGAAATCATTATTTAAAAGGCTAATACACCTCATTAACATTATGTTTACTATATTCTAGCTTAAGGCAAGTAACCGATCTTGCTAAAGAAAGTCTTGTGTTGAGTCATTTTTCTTTAAACCTAAAACCTACAGGATATTATTACAATACTACTCCCTCTGTTTTGCTTAATGAAAACTCACTGCTTTTTTTGTGTGGAAGAATTCTTTTAAGTCTGGAAACACTATCATTTTAAAGAAAGCATCAGACAAAGGTGAACTGATCTTTGTAATTTCACTTATCTAACTCAGGGTCAACTTTTATTATGAGAGTTTTTTTTCATAAATTCATGAAATATAATGTGATACTATTAGTTTCAAGAGGGGAAATATATAGGATATTCTGCTTTTTTCTACTTAAAGGATAATCTCTCTCTCTCTCTCTCTCTCTCTCTCTCTCTCTCTCTCTCTCTCTCCACACACACACACACACACACACACACACACACACACACACACATTAAACTAGAGTAAGAGGAAATCCTTCGTTTCCTCTTGCCACATCAGCTAGAAAGCATCATACAATGTAAATTCAGATGTTGACGGGCTCTCAATATTTGGGTGAAAATTTTAGGTCATTTACATCTAGATTCATTATAGAGGAGATACTGATGACAGAATATATATGCCCTGAATAGCTACGTCCTCCCATTGCAGGGGTGCAGAAAAGGCCCACAAATGGTTATCTTGGCTTGCTGCTTAAACCCTATTCCTAATTCCCTTTTATTTCCCTAATTTGTTTCCATGCCCACTATAAGCAAAATATGTAGGCTACAGCTGTATCACAAAAGGTACAGCACCATCAATCACATCAACTCTTACAGCTCCTCCTGCTCTCTGGGTCCTCCTTTCATCACATCCCGTACTATCTACATTATGGCTAGTGCTCTGCACCTTGGGGTGCTTAGTGTTCATCCAATCTGTCATAGTCCTGCACATTGCAAAAATTGGAATTGCTTCTAACTTTTTTACTTCCTTTCACATTGAATCCGGAATCTTAACTCCTACCAACTCTTTCACTGTACCATTTCCCCAATCTGGTTGAGCGTCTTACTTTTTAACTACTCATGTGGTCTTTTTCAGATACCTCTTCCTATCATCTTCTTCTCTGGTATGCTAGCCATTTCTATGTATAATGGCTATTTGGTCCTATTATTTAAGCTACATAATTAACATTCAGTACAATCTTGAGAAATTTGATCATACCCCTTGTATTGCACACTGGTTGTGAATGGATTTATCCTTGAAACACACCTACTCCCCCAACTTTCTTATTCTTCACTCTCCTCCTTTAGGATGCCAGGTCTTCACATATGCCCAAGATTTTGCTCCTTGGAAAGGCACCAAGAGCCATATTATATGTGATATTTTTATTTTCCTGAAGTTGAATTTCTTTTGTCTCAGCAGTATAAACGTCTGTCAGAGCCCTGTGCTCAAAAAGACAATAGTCCTCTATAAGATTGTCCCACAAATGTACATTTATGAAATTTAAATTAAAATAAAATGTTTGCATTTTATCACTTTACCTGTTTTTTAATTAACCACTTAAGAAATGGCTTATAGTCATGTTCATGCTTGCCTACATTCATATCTATACTACATATACTGTCATACATCATATTATAGTGCTTTGCAGCCTTTTTTATTCCTGTTTAAAATAACGTTCTCACACCATCATTTACTGTGGCTTTAAATTAAAGAACTGAATGACACTTCTTTTTTAAGAACTGGTAAGAAAGACCAGTGTTTTTGTCTGTCATTATCTGATAAGATACATTGATAAATAGCATTTGGCAGTTCCTGATGTACAGTAGTATGTGTGTGTGGTGTGGGAAGGGCTTGGGTCAGAAGATATAAAGCTTCTTCTCATCTTGGAATCATTTCAAGCTGCTGGATCTCTGGGTTTGCTTTTCTTCACTAGCTTGCAACATACAGAAGTACTATAAGTAGTCAAAGCATTTAACCCAGTGTCTGGAGCACACTTAGGTGCTTAAAGAATATTGTTGGTCATTTTTTCCCATTTATAAATTGAAATCACCATCAGTCCAGAACCTGTGTATACATGATCATACTGTATTTTTCCCACTGTAGCTATCGACAGAGAGCTCAGAAGTTATCAGAAATTCATAAGGATCAACCCGGCCACCCTGTCAATCGGACTACCTATTGGATAGACTACATTCTTCGTCATGATGGAGCCCATCACCTCCGTTCGGCCGTCCATCAGATTTCTTTCTTTCAGTATTTTCTACTGGATATTGCCTTTGTGCTTTTGCTTGGTGCTGCCTTGTTCTACTTCATTTTGTCCTGTTTGATAAAATTTATCTATAGAAAAATCAAAAGCCTGTGGTCTAGAAATAAGCATAGCACAGTTAATGGACATTACCAAAATGGAATCCCTAATGGTAAATACAAAGGAAATGGTCATATTAAACATGAAAAGAAGGTAAAATGAGCCACCAGCCCAGGTTATGGGAACAAATCTGTTAGGTCATTGAGTTTGTATTGCTATACTTTAGTCTAACAGCTACTAAAACTAAATGTCAGCAAAGAATTCTAATATTCCCTCATCAGACCTTACTAATGAAATGCCATGGTTAAGATATCTGTAAAGAGCACAACCCTAAATGCAAAAATGTATTTTATTCAAATACTGATGCAGAAAGTTGGCACTGAACCATTTAGAAGCCTTAATTATTTAAATCAATTTAGTGATTGTGTCAGACCTTAGTTTTAAATGTTATGTGTGTATTATAGGTGAGAAAAGATGTCTTTTTCTTATAAGATGTGTGTATGTGTGTGTTTCCTATTCCTGATCAGTGAGTTTTAACTTGTATTTGTTGAAAGTACAACATATTCAAGAATGGAGTAGGAAGACAGGACACAAATGTTTCTCTGTCAGTGTTTAACATATGTGAACTTCACATTCTCCCTTTAAAGATTGTTTCCCTCAAAACTCAATGCAAAGAGGCAAGTGAAAAGATGGGTGGCACAATTTTTGTATTTTCGTTTATTACAGACTTTTTATTTGTTTGTTTTATATGTGTCCTTTTCTTACCGGCTGTGGATGAGTGTGGAGGAAGACATGTAATGTAGTCAATGAGTGAATTGGTTTTCACATTTTGCTTATGTTTTTCTCTAGAGTAATTTTCTAATTTTTCTGTCTTGTTTTAGTAAGTAATATGTTAATACATAATTAAGACAAAGCAGCAAAGCTCTTAGTTTTGCACAAAGTACTGAAGGCTTGCTCACATGGCACTTGAAAGCGGCCATTGCTTGAATGTTTATGTGACTATTGGATATTCCATAATTTACTATTTGAATATTCAGGTGTCACCATTCTAAAATGTTGACTTTAAAATACCACCTTTCATTCCTTTTGTTGTCTGGGCCACATAATCTAGTACATAGGTGCCAATGTGTAATTCTTGGAAGCAGAACATTTGTGATTCTCCTGATTGGTACCTGCTTTGTCTGCAGGGCTTTGAAGTTTTGTCAGCAAATCAGACTTTACATGCTACACAGAAGTGACAGGAATTGTACCACCCATTTGTGCAAATGAGTTTTCATTCCCTCACTCCATCAACCCAACTCAGCAGCCTTTTATGTCATTTTGTCTGACATGGGACAGTGACAGTATTCATTTGGAACAGGGAGAGGAGTCACAGCCTTCACAAAATCAGGACCTCCCTGTTCAGCCACTTGCTAGATAACAACTATAGTCTATTCCATGTCACTCTGTTTACTGAGCATTTGCACTACACATTAGGAGTGTGTGCTTTATTTATTTGTGGTTGGAAATCTCACATTTGACACTTGAGAGTAAGGAAATGCAATGTTAACATCATTCACTAACATGGAAGAGTTGTGAAAAATCTAGAATGCTGTAAATCCTTGTCATACACTATGACATACAACTTTATGACACTCCCACCAGGAGCCACTCTCATAAACTTAGAAGTAATATCATCATTAGGATTCTAATGTACAATGCATAAAATGTACTGCTTTCTGAATACTTGAAGATATGGTATATATACAAACCTGTTAGTTTCACCTTTTCACAATCTTATCACAATGTTGCCGTAAAAAAGGAAAAAAAGACTGGCAATGAATGGTGGGATGGTAGCAGGACATAGAGTGTATGAATGAGTTGATTCTGCATTTTGGCATTTGATGAAGTTGACTATAGGCACTAACTGGATGATTAAGCATAAGTTAATTTCCACTGTGATTTATAAAAAGAAAGACTTAAAACAATAAACAAAATTGAAAATAATAGAAATGTTGTTGGAATAAAATTTTTACTCAGATTTTATTTCACAGTATTATATATAGGTATATTTAGATTATAAACATGTTTCTAAGCCCTCCCTACTTTTATATGTGTACATGAGTGTGAAAACAATGTATTAAATGTGAGAATATATTTAATAAAAATTAAATGCAGGGATTTATCCTTTCAAGTACATCAACATGGATCTTTAAATTCTGTCATAGTATTAAGAATGTTAAGTACAATTCTTAATTACCAGTGTTTCTTTTTATTTTATTTTTGTTGTTGCTCTCCTCTACCCAACCCCTACCCTAGACACTAAGCAAGCCTATTAGCCAGTTTTAGTAAGCAGGGTGATTTTACATTTTCTAATGAAGTAAATTTTCACAAAGGCATTTATTCACTTACTTTTAAGAAAGAGTCTCTATAATGGCAAGTGCTTCCATAGCTGGTTTCATCAAATAAAGATAGTTTTTTTTTTCCTTCTAAGTCATTAACTTTGTAAAATCTCACCAATAGCAAAAGGCAGTGATTTTGATAACCCAGATTGGAAAGAGCTCATGTTTGAGTTGGAAGCAACACTATTATTGAACTTAAAAGAAAATAGACAATTCCCTCAAATCTCAGCCTCTCAATAAATCCCAAATTACTACTGAAATTGAATGACTCCATTTAAATAAAAGGTTTAAGAATACAACAACCATGAGACTTATGTTTGGTCTTCCCAAGAACTTCTTATCCAGCCCTATCCCCACAAAGAACCAAAGTATTGTTGACAAACAACCTCGAGTAATAATTTAGCAATTTGCTTATATATATAGAGAGAGTATTTCCACAACTTTGTAAATGTCACATTTGGCAATGTTTATTATTGTCAATAATAATATGAAGGAGAAAACTTTCAAGTCTTGTAAGTTGAAGCATGGAATTACAGGAATTCTATTGCTGAAACATCCTCAAAATATGTTTTAGAGAATTTCTTATTCAGCTTTCAAGAAGACCACTTTAGCCAGCTATTAAAGAAGTGTGTTATGTATAAATATGCTGCTCATATTTTTGGCAAACTTTGTCAGATACATTTTAGTAAAGTTGCCAAATTTCACACAGTTAAAACATCCACATGATAGTTTTATCACACCCTTTCTTTGGGGGTGATTCACACTGTTGTCTGAAAATTTTCTGCAAATCTTAATAGTCTTATAAACAAAAGTGCTCAGCATATAATCCCTGTTTGGAATGATGAATCACAACCACAGGCAAATTACACTATGATTTTAAATAAAAACATGTTAATCAATATAAGTCCAATACCAACATTTATCTCATGGAATTAGAGCACTTCTGATACTATTTAAACTTCACCCAATGAATAGAGGGAGAAAAATGTGCTCCTGTGGGCACTGGGAGGGGAGGGTGGCCTTTCCTTTTGTCTCAAAAGCTTCTTTTAAAATTAGAAAGGCAGAGAAGAGCTAGAAAGTTCTGGAAACTTTAGAAGCTCTTCCTAGAATATTTTTAAGCAAATTATTGAGGAAACAAAATTAAAGAGTCACAGAACTAATTCACTGCATGATGTTCTTCCATGTCATTTTTTCTGGTTATTCTAAAATCAAAGCATTTTTTAAATTAAATTTTAATGTACATGTAGAGTTAGGTATAAATGACATTTTCTTAACCATGAATTTAAGTGATAATGAGACCTACTCCTCCTGCTATTTTATAGAAAATTAAGGAAAGGAAGTCATTTGTTATGATCCCCCAGCAGATTTCATGTATGCAAGGGAATGAAAGTGACAGTTTGTGCTGTTTTTGAAACCAGTTCTGAGTTTTATGAGGGGATCAGCTCAGATTCTATATTGTTGATTGAGAGTGCCCAATCTTCCCATTCTGTTTGCTCTCATTTTTTGCTCTCATTTTCTGGCTTCTGGGAGTTCTGTTTTCTTTCTTAGCTTATCACTTGCACAAGTAAAAATTTCCTAACTCACTGGCATTCCCGAGTGTAGGGTGCAGATTGTGTGTGTGCATCTAAAAATGATTCCTTTAAGAGAATGTGGTAGGAGTAAAAGGTAAAACACTCAAAAAATACAGACTGACTTGAACAAATGTCCATTTATTTAAAAAATGGGTTTTTTCCGTATTTAAACTTCACCCAATGAATAGAGGGAGGAAAAAGTGCTCCTGTGGGCACTGGGAGGAGGGTGGCCTTTCCCCCAGACTCCATGGGCTCCTTTAATTGTGACACTGTGCCAGTTCTCTGGGGGCATAGCTCCATGATCTCTAAACAGTCAAGCCACATGCGCAGAGCGTTTTGCTGTCCACTTAATCAGTTAAGATTGTGATATTGAAAGACCCGTTCAGCATGCTTCTGCAAGTCCCCTGCCCGCTGCCTCTTTGTCTTCCCCGCCTGTGCCTGTGCTGGGCGTTGGTTCTGGA